GGGACGGTCAAACGTACCTTAGCTCATCGGGCACTGATTCACCCCATCTGGTCAAGAGCAGCTGTGCCTCCCCTGTGGTCTCAACCTTTTCAGCTATGATAGCCTGCAGCGCACCGTCTCGGAGTCCGTCTTCCTTCCGGCTTACGATGACAGCCTTTCTTCCGATTTCGCTGAGTATCCTCGCAAGGTCGACGGTCACAGCAAACGCCTTATCTTTCGACGAAGTGCCGTTGCCCATGGGCATATCGACATGAGGCGGATAGCACTCCTCATCCTCTATTGAAGATAGGCGACCCAACTCGAACGCCAAGAACTTTTCAAAGGAGAAGATGCCAAGCCAAAATGCCTTGCGCTCTTCATCATTGGCAAAGTCTGGCCTCTTGTCAGGGCGGTTGTTTTTGCCGCCCCGGCACGTTCGAGGTTTGTGCAGGCCCAGCGACGTTGCAATAGAAACCGCCGTGGTGAGAATGTTCCAAGCCCCAGCGCACTCATCATAGCAGTGAAGACACAATGAAAGAAGCGCCAAGGATCTGACAGTCTCGACGCCGTTGACGGTGACGAGGTGGCCAATAAGAGTTTTGCAGTATATTACATAGTCCCCTGGATCCAGTGTTGGTTCCGATAGTGCCGCGGAAGCAAACGCGATGGACATGACGAGGTAGACCGAGACCAAGGCCGCTAGCCCCCGTGCCTCAGCGAAGTTAATTGGGCCGAGTTCCACGGCTGTGTCAATGTCTCGCATGAGACGGTCTGGGGTGAAGAGTGGATAGACCAGATTGATACCTTCGAGGTAGCGGGCAGCAAGCTCGCGGGCAATTTCTTTGGGAGGAAACGGGCAGGGTTCAGACGACAGAATGCGGTAAGCCGGCGGCCTGTCTATGCGCGTTGGCATGCCGCGCCTTTGTTGGATCCCTAGCCGACGCGCAGCAAGGTCCAACCAGTCGCCGAGGATCTCGACCGAGTTGTTCCCGCGGCTGGGGCGTACTACAGGTAACTTTCCTTGATACTTGGGCGGGGCCTGGCAGGCGGGAGGTTCCTCATCTTCCGGAATGATCGTGACGGCAGCATCCTTGGGAACCGTTACGAGCTTGGTAGCCACTACGGAAGCTGTTCGGTCACGGCTGTAGAGCAGCTCTATCGACGGCGAAGTCTTGGTGCGGGTGTCCGGCAATGCCGGCGGCGGCGGCGGCAGCTCAGAGCTCTCAACCTCTTCTCGAGGTGAGTGTGGAGACGCGACGGCCGTCAGCGAATGCGTCAAGGACGCGCTGGATGCCCGAGACAGTCGGCGCTTCGTCTCCCGGCGCTGGACCTCGACGCCGGGCCTCCGCCGGTCCGTCGTGACGCACTCGATGCCGGCGTTGATGCAGGCCCGGCACGATGGCTTTTGCTCATCGCAGCGCGTCTTCCGGTTGCGGCAGTAGTTGCAGGCGAAGTTGATACGTCGCCTCTTGGCTACCGAGCCCGCCGCCCCCGAGGTGCCCTCGGAAGACTCGACGACGACGGACGAGGGCTCGGCAGCCGCCGCGGGAGTGGGTACGGGGTTCGTATATGATGACATTGCCGCGCGTTGCCTGTGAGGTGTGTGGAAATTCCTCACATAGCCGATACCTGAGTATTCTCCACTGACCTGGCTAGACTGGTACGCTTACTGGCTGCTGACTGACTGGGTTGTTCGGGAGCTGGAGATGAGGGTTCGGCTGGGGAGGTTGAGATGCCGAAGCGCGTCGTTATGAGGAGTACTTTGGCGTTTCCGAAACGTGAAGAGACGGCACGGCCCAGAAAGAACGAGGAGATCGAATGACTCGCGGAAGCGTTTCGGGAGTTTCTTTGGGTGGTTTAGGTGGTGGACACTGCGCAGGCCGACCGGCCCCTCGTTCCGGTTGACGCGATGATCAGCTCGGAATAGTGGGGGAGGTAGAAGATGGGGAATTCCAGCCTATCTCAGGGGTCTTTGCCATGATTCTTCACAACGACATGTCTACTCGGCCAATGAGGCTCTGGAAGCGGTTAGACTATTAGATCTTCCCCATGGGGTTTACAATGCAATCAAACATGGGGAGATGGGGAGCCGTACATGTAGGCTTAGTCCCTGCGATCGGTAGGAATGCCATTGGTCTAAGGCACGCTTCTACCGTGGTTATCGGGAGTTGATGGGCCTGAGCCGAGCCGACAGCCCAATGAAGCTATTCTCTGATAATGGTCTAGCTTTGATTGGACCACAAGGCATACTACACTCCTGTAACTTGATGAGACTCAATACCGTCAATTGAAATGGCTAGTAGGACTATAGACAGTCAACACAAAGAGATCTAGAAGCGACAGCAACCGCTCAGACATCAGTTCGTATATAGTCAGAAGCATGGAACCTCGTCAATGGGCCCTTGCCGGCATCACGACTTTGAGTTTGCTGCTTAGGTCTGTGCTGCGACAATTTTCAACGTCCCATCAACTTTCCTTCTCGCCTCACGCCAGATTGCGGACCGTCTTTTGAGTTGTTGGAAGTATTTCTGCCTCCTTTGCCGACCATGCCGGGCACCAAAGATGATGAGCCTCATGTCGACACCATCGAGGGATCGGCTACAAAGGTCACTGCGCAGGAAGATCAAGCATACGGAACCGTGCAGCTACTCCAAGGCGGTTCAGTTGTCTTGATTCCCACTCCTAGTCCTGACCCCAAAGGTAAGGCTACCGAACCTCCTATCTTGCCTAAGGGCCAGTGCTGCGGAGGTAGACATGTCTAATGCTGACTGCGAGAGATAGACCCTCTCAACCTTCCAACATGGCACAAGTACCTCATTATCTTTGTCGTCGGCTCATACTCCGCCATCGCCGTCCTCGTTACATCCGGTCTCGGCGCCGTGTTCCCCTCCGTATTGAAGGAGTATCCCCCCGAAGATGCCACGCGTGCCACGGATCTTCTCACATACCCAACGCTGTTCATGGGGATAGGAAACCTCTTCTCCATGCCGCTCTGCGTGACCATCGGAAGGCGACCCGTGTTTCTCATGTCACTGGTTCTGCTGGTCTTGTCAGGTCTATGGTGCGCCTTCTCCACGTCCTTGAGTAGCCATATTGCCGGTCGCAACTTTTACAGCATCGCCGCTGGTCAAAGTGAGGCACTCGCTCCCTTCATAATTGAAGAGATCCACTTCCTTCACGAAAGGAGCGCCAAGCTTTCTTGGTTCATTGGTGTTCAAACTGCGGGGACGGCGGCGATGTTCGTTGCGACAGCTTACATCGTCCCTTCAGTGGGACTCAAGTGGTGGTACTTAATCATCACATTCATCAACGCCGTTATCCTTGTCCTGGCTTTCTTCTTTGCTGTAGAAACAAAGTACGATCGGCCAGTTGATGCCGACAGTAAGTTCCGCCCGTGCCTTGGTGGCCCCAGTCAACTGGTGCGTGCTTAGACTAATACGACATCGCTATAGGGGGCGCTGTCCATCTGAAGTTAGACGACGAAGGCAATGTCAACAAAAACGGCGACAACGAGATGATCATCCAAGTCCTGACACGACAAAACCATGTTCTGCAACCCGAAGTCTTTGGACCCCGAACCTGGCGCCATAATCTGAGAGTCTTCCACTTCAAGCCCGAGTGGAAACAGACAGTCATCTTCTACAAGGAGACGATGCAATCACTCTTGTTACCAAACATCGTCTGGATGTTATTACTCAACGGCGCCTTCTTGGGCATCTATGTGTACCAAGCCTCAACTTTTGCGACCATTCTGATGGCACCTCCGTACACATTCAAATACGACTGGCTGGGATATGTCCAGCTGGTTCAAGTCCTCGACTGCGTCGTCCTGGTACCTCTTCTAGGCTACGGATCTGATATGCTGGTACGGGCCATGAGTAGTTGGAAGAGCGGAACCTTCCAGGTAAGCAACCTCTACAAGTTCTCCGGTGTGTATGTCGAGCCGATGCTGACTTGTCTTCGCAGCCTGAGTACAGACTCATCATCCTGAGTGTCCCCATCCTATCAGCCATCATCTCCTGCGTCTTCTTCGGACAGGCGGGCGCACACCCTGACCGCTGGCACTGGATGACCATCGTGGCCCCTTACAACCTTGGGTACTTTGCCTTCCTGGGAGCGAACCTCGTCGGCATCACCTACGCCATTGACAGCTTTCCAAGCAAGGCCGGGCCGCTTCTCTTGGTCCTATGTGCAGGACGCGGCTTCATCTCGTTTGGTCTGAGCTACTCCACCGTTCCGTTGATCAATCTGATTGGATATCAGGGCGCCATGAACATCTTCGCCATCATTGCTGGTGTTTTGGGTGTCATTACTGTTCCTGTGTATCTCTTCGGGTCGCGCATCAGGATGTGGGCTACGAAGAAGATTTGGCCAGAGATTGCCTCTGAGTGACGAAACGAGAGTACTTCGTAAATTTGTTTAGGGCTATCCGAGATGTATAGTGAATGATCTTTCGTTTGATTAGGAAGGTAATCTGTGTCCCAAGTACCGTGTCTCAGGCGTACTTGAATTGAATGTGAGATCTGGATTTGATAATCCTTTGGCTACTTACCTTCAGTGAATGGTACCTCAAATCACATCCTAATCAAAGTCGTTCTTGATAGAAACCGTGCCATTTATCTTTTTGTATAAGAAACTTGCAAATAGAATCAGATTTGGCGAGAACTCAAGAGGTATGTATGTCATGACTTTATCCAGCATTCGATGGAATTTGGTGTTTTCAAGGAATCTCCTGGGTACGGTTCTCGATGTGGCCACAGACATTTCTCGCCTACAAAAGAGCGGGAGTTCCAATAAAGTGCTTTTGCATGTACGAAAGATCGCATTATGAGTTTTCTCATCAACCCGTGGTAAAAGCACATAGAAAAGTAATCCTTCTAGAAGCATGGTAAAAGAGTATCCAAACTTCATTGAAACTAAACGATGACAGTTTCCTCAAAACACTAAAGATAAACAATTTGATGGCTCAGCCAAAACAAAATCCTCCACGGAAACCTGCGCAATCCTCACCAAACCCATTCTTACTCTCCCAAAGCATCAATAGGAACCCCCTGGATATACGGAATACCCGTCAACTTGAACCCCCTCTCCGAAAGCTTCGGCACACTCCTCGGCTTGCCCGTATTATACGGACACGGCTCCCCATCCCTCAACACCGGAATGCCGCCAACGTGCATCGCATTAGGCCAGTGCGTCGTGCTCTTCAACTCCTCAAACGCGCCCTTCTTCCTCACCAAGTCCTCCTGCGTGGCCTCGGCGACCGGCATGTAACAGGTATACACGCAGAACCGCGGCGACGTGCCCTCCGGGCTGAGATTGTAATGCGGCGTCCGGCTGTCCCACAACAGCAGGTCTCCAGGCTCCGCGTTGACCTTGATCCACTCGCATCCGCGGTCCTTGAGCCACTGCATTCCCTTGTCGGTGAACCCATACCACTCCTTCGTCCACGCCCAAATCTTATCCTCCTCGCCGCGGAACGCCTCGTGGAACTCCTCGGAGAGCAGGTGCGCGCCCTTGCAGACAATCAGCCCGCCGTCGCGGTCTCCATTGGGGAGGAGGTTCACGAGGCCCTGGAGGCAGCGGAAGCCGGGCTTCTCCGGGTCCTGGTCCTGGTGCGGCCAGGGGTTGTTGGGTTTGACGTCGGGCCGGTTGGGGAAGGCCATGTTGACGGCGTCAAAGGAGACGATGAGGTCCGGGGTGTCGTAAACTTTTTCAAAGGCGTCGACGAGGCCTGGTTCTTGGCGGACGGCCCAGGTGAAGGACTCGTGAGCGACGCCGTAGCCTAGGCACATTCCCTTTTCGGTGATGATGGGGAGGTTGGATTCTTTGACGGTGGAGGGGTCGTTGCGGTTGAAGCCGAGACCGCCGGCGCTGTTGAGTTGTTAGGGTGCTGATTCGTTTGAACGATTCTGGGGTGTGAAGGAATAGGCCACTTACAAGTTCTCGAGATAAGACATCATCTCCTCGCCGTAGGCGTCTGCTCTTTCGCGGGGAATAGCGCCCTTGACTACGACGTAGCCGTCGCGGAGCAGATCATCGCGGAAGTCTCCAAAGACTGCACCTTCTTGAGAGAAGAGTCTGTTAGGGCCCGCCGGCTGAGGCTTCAAGGGAGCCGTGTCTGATGCATTTTTGATAATCTTCTTCCCCTCTGGGACCGGGATGGTCGCCAAAGGCTTTGCGGAGTCGGTTGCGATGACCATGATGAAGGAGTCAGATGAGGGAAAACTTTCTGTTGAATAAGGTAGGTGTGAGATCCAATGCCCCAGTAAAGCTTGATTGTTTCTAGATATTACTCGTGCCTATGGAACGGAATGAATCGTTGTGTTTATAGGCAATATACACATTTGATGATCCCAAGTGTTCGACCGAACAAGACACTTCCTGCCCACCGAGCCGTAAGCTCATAGACTAACTAGTACCTTGAGCTCGGGCAGATGCGACAACTCTACAGTACGTTCCGCTATCCTGCCGAAAGCTACTCCTAGCCTCTCGGAATAGTCTAGCTTGATCCCATCGGTACGGGGCGGAAGAGTGGTGGGGGATATTCACTACACTAGCACAGTACATTCGAGGGGAATGCTTCGGTTCGGCATCGGCTGGTAGTCTAGTTCAGTGTAAGGCGCTCGGTTCGGGAGTTGGCGGGCCTCTTTTCTTCCCGACTTGGACGACACTCCATCCCACCCCACCCCCGTAAGCAGCCGGGACAGCAACTTCTTCCTTTCATTACCGTGGAGGGCCGGGAGAGGAGGGGTTAGACTCAATTGGAATTTGTACAAGCCGAAGTCATGAAGTCTTTGAAGATGGCCTTTGTACAAGTAGACCGTGACTTGCAACTGGAGGTTAACGGTCTCACTGGACAAACTATAGCAAAGCGTTCTCCGACCTAAGAACAAGTTAGCAAGTGAAAAAGGCCCTTGTCACAATGCCGTCTTCAAGGTTCTCCGGTCTCGAAGTGCCCATCGAGCCGTTGAATGCGCCAACAGCCGGTCGTGATGGCTATGACGGCCTCAATCCACACATAGAGACCCTGCCCGCTGGCTGGAAACATCCCCATCCAGACGCGCGCCCATTGCCCTCCGCCATCCTACTAGAGCACGACGTTGCCATCAAAGTCAGAGACGGAACGACGCTCTACGCAGACGTACTGCGCCCGCCAAACACCACAGAGAAAGTGCCTGCGCTAATATGCTGGTCCCCCTTTGGCAAGAAGTTCAATGGTCTCACGTCATTGGGCTACATGACGCCATGGAACCTTGGCATCCCGGCTGGCACGCTCTCCGGCCTGGAAAAGTTCGAGGCGCCTGACCCGGCGGACTGGGTTCCCCGCGGCTATGCCATCGTCAACATCGACACGCGCGGTGCCTTTGACAGCGGCGACGAGAACACACCAATGGTCATCATGGGCGGCCAAGAAGCCGAAGACGGGTATGATGCCATCGAAGCCGTGGCGGCGATGTCCTGGTGTAGCGGCAGCGTCGGACTCGCAGGAAACTCGCACCTCGCCATCGCGCAGTGGTTCATCGCGGCGCTGCGACCGCCGAGCTTGAAGGCCATTGCGCCGTGGGAAGGGTGCGGAGACTTGTACCGCGAGCAGTTTGCGCGGGGAGGCGTGTACGCTGGCGACTTGTTTGACGAGCTCATCATTAAGCACATGCTGAAAGGCCGCGGCGGGATCGAAAGCTTCCGCGAGATGTACGCGCAGCATCCGCTTGCTAATGCCTGGTGGAACGACAAGAGGCCGGACATGAAGCGGATTAATGTGCCAACGTATATCACGGGCACGTGGACGAACACAATGCATGGTATGGGTGCAATCCGGGCCTGGTTGGAGGTGCAGTCGAAGGAGAAGTGGTTGAGATGGCATCCGTGGCAGGAGTGGTTTGACCTTTGGGGGAACGCGCAGGCCAAGGATGAGTTGTTTGCGTTCTTTGACCGGTACCTCAAGGGCGTCGATAACGGATGGGACAAGACGCCCAAGGTGAGAATGTCTCTGCTGCGGTTTGGCGAGAAAACTCCCCAGGCGATTGAGAATATCGTTGAGGAGGATTTTCCGCCTGCGCGAACGCAGTACAAGGAGTTCTTCCTCGGCACGGGAGAGACGCTCATCTCTACTACTGCGCCAGAGACGAAGACGACGGTCAGCTACGATTCCGAGTCTGGCGGGAACGTCAGCTTTACTCATACCTTTACCGAAACTACCAACATCATGGGCCTTCCCAAAGCAGTGCTGTACATGTCTTGCCCAGATCACGACGACATGGACGTGTACGTTATGATCCAGAAGCTCGACAAAGATGGGAAGCAAATGAAGAACCTCAACATTCCATGGAAGGGCATACCCGTGAACTCGTTCCAGGAATTCAAGCCTGAGCAAGAGACGGAAGTCGTGCTGTACAAGGGCCCCGTGGGCATCCTCCGGGCTTCTCATCGAGCCATTGATGAGAACAGGAGCATGCACCCACACTGGCCGTTCCACCCGCACGAGAAGGAGGAGAAGATCACGCCTGGCGAGGTTGTCAGGCTGGACATTGGGATTTGGGCGCTCGGGGTTGAATACGAGGCCGGCGAGAGTCTGCGGGTTGTCGTTAGCGGACAAAGCTTTGCCGTGAGTAATTTCGGGAAGAACCATACTCTGAATAAGGGTCGGCATAGCCTACACTTGGGAGGAGACCAGGCAAGCCATATTGTTCTTCCTTTTGTGTAGTTAATATCAAACGGGTTCGCTGAGATGTATACCTCAATGGGCCTTCATTTCCAGTATATGGTACACGCCCGAACGTCGTACGTTCTGCCCAGTGACTCGCCTTCGTGACCAGGCTCTCATGAGAATTCAGACCGAGCAGGTCATGACTTTTCCTACGTGCACGGAAGAGTCAAATCTGGCGTCCACAGGGGTCACAGCCCAAGCAGCTTGCAAAGCCGATTCGACGCATTCGGGTTATCTCTTCGCTGAGAATGACGGTATCCTTGACAGGTGATTGTTTGCTCGTATGCCAGAAGGTGCGAACGAGTGGGTCACACGGGACTGCGCAGGAGATCAGACTCGGCCTCTGTCGACATGGTCACACAGCCATTTGCCACAGGTAGCAAGATATCCTCTTTCTGCAACGTTGATGTCGGATGTTTGAGTCGACAGTAGCACCTCTGGAGCACACACGTTAAGCTGCAAGATTGGAGGGGCATTTGGCGTCGCGTTCGTGTTCGCCGTGTACCCTTGCAATCAGTGAGCTGTCCGGGGTCAGTGGCAACAGGGATATTGAATCCTCTGTTGGTTGCAGTGCTTCAGGTTGAGTGCTTCTTTGACCGGATTTAGGGAAACCTCCACCTCCTCTTGAAGACTTGACGTTGTGAGGTGTGACTGTGATTGAGAACATGATGGCACAGCTAAAGTAAGCGAGTGACACCGGTAGTAGGGAAACGTGAGAAGTGGAAGACAGCACTACCCAAGCGATTCAAATGCGGACTTGTAGACCGCCGAGCTGACCGCCTGAGGTTTCATCGGCCGCTGCGCAAGCGTACACGCCGGCTCTGCGTCGGGCATGCGCAACGGGGCGCGGCGGGCGTGTCCTCTGTCACATCGCGGGCCGCACTCCAGACGCCGGTTCGCAATTTGAGTTCGAGCAACGGCTGTACCGGTTCGTTTCCTGTGTTGCGTGTCACATGAGGATCTTCGAGTCATGGAGAGGCATGGAAGGGAGAACTCAATCTGCTGGTTCCCTCCCATCGATCGGGCTTGCATGATGTGGACACTGGACAGAACGGTCTCGATAGAGGCGAACGAAGGCGACAAACCAAGGGCAAGAGAAGACAACCAGGCCAGGCGCGCGCACAGTCTTGGGGCCGAGGCTGGTGGGGCAGCGGAACGTTAACCAGATTCCGGGAACGCTATTTTGGTGTTTTGGGTGCGTTGGTGTGGGCGGGGGACCTTGGGCTTCGGGGACGGTGGCCGGAGGCGTTTGTTAGATGCGTGGAACCAGCCGGGGCAGGCCGTAGGATGCGTAGTTTGGCGGGGATATCCGTAGAGGTCGCAGATTGGGCCACGTTGGTGGCGAGATGATGTTGGAGTTGGGTTGGCTTGTAGTGGGTGAAATCTGCAACGCGGAGTCCCAATCCATGGATACTTTGTGGACGGTCGTCATAAGTGACGGAGAAACACTGAAGAGCCATAGTGGGTGACGCTCGTCAAGATGATCGGGGGTCGTTTGATGAACCTGGCACGATGTGTATCCGTACGAAAGTCTGCAAGGAGTTCGGTAGAGGAGCTACTGCAAACTTGGATGCGGCAGAAGCAGACGGCGCAGAGTCAAAAGCCGACGGCTCTGGACGAAGGAAGCAGTCGCATCGAAATGGGCGCAGGTGGAGTGGTTCACGGCTCGGTGTCGTGGCGCTACTCAATCGGCCTTGGACGAGATGAGAGGGCTGTCAATATCAGGTACCAATGTGACCTGCCGTTGTGTCTATCGATGGGCAGCCGCAGGACTTGTTGCGCTTTGACGGTGATAGTAAGGGAAGCGACTGCGACCAAGACCCTTGAACCGCCATCGGTTCTTTTCTTCCTCTTGATGAGAGATGAGACTCGGTACGGACGTAGCAGTCGGCGGCCGGATATCCGTATTTCGTACAACATTGCCTCGGTATCTGCCAGGGACTGTCAGCTGTTGTCTTAAACACCAGCCTCCTTCTTGCGGGCAAGGCTTGCTCTCGGAGAGACAACGACATTTTGCCTGCGGCTTTCTCAAATCAACCCCTCTTTCGTTGCTCCCTTTTGCGAGCGAGTGCAATGGATCATGGCGCGCCCCTTGAAGATGCTCTTGAACGGCAGAGTCAGCCTGCAGCCGGGGAACTGGGGAAGACCTTGCTTCCATCACGTTGGAATCGACTCTTATTGGGCGTGAAGGAGGAAGATGCAGAGGAGGGAGCAGAAGCAGCAGGGATGGCAGCTCGGAGCAATTGGACGGCGTGCAGGGGACCCACCAGAGAGACGTACCCCTGCATAACGCGTGCACAAACCCAAGTGAGCAGGGCTTCTTACATAATCACACACACACACACACACACACACAGCTCACAAGTGCTGACTTATGCAAGGGGAGCTCGGATCATTTGTAGTGGCTGTTAGCGCCGGCGCCATTGAGAAGAAAAAAACGAGACAGAAAAAAAGAGAATTGATCGATGAAAAAAATGCCCGAGCTACGAGCTTTTTCATATTAGTCGGCATTTCCACATTGCGCATACGCTTCTTCACCGCAAAGGAATGCAAGATTGACAATGTATAAGCAGAGGTCATAGCGATTACCGACCTGAGGGACAGAAGGATCTGACAGCTGCGCGAGCTGAGCCTGAGCGAGACTTGGGTGGTCAGATAAACATTAGATGAGAATGAGATGATAGCAGCGCCAACAATATCACCAACACGACATATTCGTCTCGTGACTTCATTGCTGCCCAAACAGCTTCCCAGAACCTGGGAGTCAAATTCACTCATGTCACTGAGTCTGCTGGAGATGTCGATCAACGGCAAACTCTCTACGGAGAACTGCGTGCTCGTGCTTTTCACTTTCTTAGCTAACACACTTTGTGAGTAGTTCCTCACGCAACTTGCCGCTAGAGCTGAGACTAGCGACTGACGGGTGCCGGTCGTCGGCACTAACAGCGGCGACCTCTGCGCCAGGCAATCTCCCTTGTCCGATGCTATTCCTGTTCCTGTCCTTGCAGGCCTGGAAGCTTGCGCGGGCGGCGCGCCAATTCTGAAGGTTTGGTGAAGATCCGACCAGGACCGAAGAAGAGAGCGAGGGACAATCAGGCACCAAGCGATCAGAGTGAGGCGCGCCGCGCAACCGCTTAGCTGGCCGAGTCGATTGAATATTCTCGGACACTGAGAAATGGGTTGGCTCGCACGCTTGGAAGAGACGCGCTGACGGATGGGAAAAAGCAAGAATATTTGTTTGCCTGCAGCGAACATCTGTGCCCATTGCATTAGTTTTTGCTCGTCTTTTCTCTACTTGACTGGTCTGAATTGATGGTCTGATGTCTTTCTCTTGAAGCATTGGACCGCGGAAGAGGCGCATCTTCTCTCACCTGTGCGTGCGCTTGCTCAGTTGAGGTTATCACATCATTGTAACTCACTCACATCTCACCTTCATCCTGAGACTCATTCTCACTCTCACTCTCATACGGCCCTACCAATCCAGCCATCTCGCCTGATATTCCCCATTTGTTCCTCGTTGCCTCCAAGTTTCAACCACCTTCATCACCAACACTTACGAATACATCACCAAACAATCAACTTGCATCACCGCGTCTTCCAACGGCATTCGCCCGACCTTTCCCCCACCGCGATCCTTGCACATACCTATTGGTCTTTGGCTCGGCTGCGCATCTCCTCCCTCTGTCCAACCATCGCGTCTGGCCCATCACATCCCACCTCATCCCACTCTTCTCACCTGCAAGGGTCTGCGGTCTCCCACATCTTGTCACTCGCTTTGCTGCCCATTGGCGAATAATTCAACCTTGGAATTGCTGCCTTTTGGCTCCCCGCGTGCCTGCAGTTGGTCTTGTCACATCCATACAGTTCCACACCCTTAACCCCCCTGCAGCTACCCTCGTCACTTTTGTTCCGTTGCATCAGACGCCCTTCCCCTTCCTTCTCCTGCGTGTGCGTATTCCCGTCACCCAAGGTCCCCTTTGCGCCGCCAGCCGTGTGTGTCTCTTTCTTCTTCCGACTCGCGGCCGATCATTTGCAGTAGAGAGAGAGGGCGCAGAAAGAAATGTGCTACCTGCTCCGTCATCCTCGCCATTCTTCATTTCCACTCATACGAACTGCCATCGCCAGATTCTCTGTGCGAGGGTCACCAAAACTACTATCACCACTATCATCAGTCATCTCGACCAAGAAACGAACCCCGTCGTCATCTTTGCATCGCTAAACTTCATTGGCCAACTGAACACCCCCGAGATAGCCCTGTCGATCGGTCGCTATCTGCTCCCTGGACCTCTCAAGGGTCTCTTTTCGGAGCGAGGTACTCTAGGTGTCTAGCTGCTTTTCCACCATTATCGACCAGGCCGCCTATCGTTTCTTAGACGCCGCCAACATCGTTGTCCATCGCAACACCAGCATTGCTCACGAACACGACATTGACGGTGGCAATCGACTAAAGACCATTCCATCTAGTTGCCGACAATCATCAACATCATCTTAACCACCATCGACATTCACTACTTCAGCTCAGCTCCAGATACCCAGTATTCCTTTCTTTGCCCTGCGTTCCCAGCCTCTGTCGCCAGCTTGTCTGGGTTCCTGCGACTAGGACCCTCCGTTTGTCCCACCAAGCACCACGCAATCGAGACATTCCAGTATCGCTGCCTCTCGTCAATTGAGACATTCCTGCGGCATCGCGATACCTAGACATTTGCCCTGCGGCGGTACAACGCCTGCGACACGGCCCAACCTCCAACGCTGGACCCAACTGCCGATCCGACGTTGTGGGAGAGAAAAGACCCGACTCGAGAGTTCGCCCGCTTGCCCTGCCTGTCCACGTTTCCATCGGTTCATGGCGAGCCATCCGACGTAACGCAAACCTCCTGTCTAGACAGCCTGTCGGTTCTCCCTCTCAGTACCTACTCCGTATCACCCAGGGAGAAAGAGTATTGCACGGCACTTCCACCACATGCCGCCATCAGCAGTCGCGTAGGCCCAAAGCTGCGGAAACCAGGTCTCGGCCTGTTCTCTTGCAATAGCAGCTCTCTTATACCTTCAAAGCGCATCCACAGCCACGACTCGACGGCTTTGCTACCACTGCAGTTTTCCTCTCGCTGCCGCGCCGTGCCCAGGCATTCCTCTCCTGATTATTCAATTACCAAGGACGTCGATTGCCCTTCCCGTACTCGTCCCCCCTTCAGCTGCGTTAGCTCGACGCAACTGCCATTCGCGCTTCTGCACCTCGAACAGGCATCATCCTGATCCTCGACGTCTTGCTGTCGCCCAATTCGGTCACTCACCACTCCAATCCGACTGCCGGCGTGATCCTTTGGGCCAAAGAGCCGTCTGATAATACGAATTTCTAGGTCGACTTGCATATGAGCGATTGTTCTCGTGCAATCGGATCAAGCACAAGACGCCGTAGTTTCTTTTCCCTAGCCACGATGGACAGTCTTGCGCGGACTCAATCGCGCGACCGCGAGAGGTCACTACCCTCTCCGGTCTACCCACGTCCAACTTCGAGATCAAGTACAAGTACCAGTGCGACCCGACGGACCCCTCGAAGCGCAAACAGTTCGACTTCACAGTTTGTTACCTCGCCGAGACAACCCAGTGCTCATCCTGCCCACAAGTTCCATCATAGCTCTTGCACCCCGTCGATGGTGACCTCTCGGCCCGGATCTGCTGTGTCAAGAGACCGAGTCTCTGACTCTGGAAGGCAGAGCGCCGCATCCACCTATCTCCAGGACAAACTCCAGAGGAGAAGAGAGGAGGCCGACAGGTTGGCCGCAGTACGCTCAACGCAAGACATGGCCGCCTCCGTAGAATTACCATCACGACATGCGCAAAGCTCACCCGTGAAAGGCGAATCCGTTGATGGACGTCGGCCAAGATCAAGTGGAGGCAATGGAGAGTCTACAAAGAGTAAAGGCATGGGCGCCAAGGAGATGGAGGCAGTGAGTAGCCCTGGATCACATCTTCGTACACTACACTCGCTGATAGCTGCCTCGACAGACTGTTTCCACCTTGCACAAGCAAAACTTTGACCTGAAGCTCGAGCTTTTTCACCGCCGCGAACGACAAAATGCGCTCGAAGAGCGTGTCGACGCCCTCGAGTCCGAGAAAGCACAGATAGACGATGTGAACGACAAGCTACTCGACGAGTTGGAGAAGCGAGACAAGGCTGTGCAGGAGGCGGTCCAGATGATAGTGACTCTTGAGGCGCAGGTCGAGACGCTATTAAAGGAGCGGGAAATGGTCCGAATGGTCGACGCAGCCGGGTTCCTACCTCATGACGACCTCGAATCTCGCCTCAGAAGCCCCACACCCAAGCCTAGAATAGCGGACCTGGCACGACTTGAAGATGATGCTAAGACGCTCAACCGCATGCCGAGTTTCCTATCGGACTATACCGAAAATACCGAGAACCTACGAAAAGTCTACCTCAGCTCGCGCGGTAGTCTACTCAGCTTACCGAGGCTCAACACGGAGGCAGTGGATGAGACGGATCCGCGTCGTGGTAATGGCATGACGAGCCCGAGTCTCAGCGTCCTCAGTGAAAGTTCCTTTGTAAGTGTGTATGGCGAGAAAGATGATCAGGATCGAACAATTGTGGCCGATGCAGACGAGCCACATTCTATGGATGGTGCTTTACCACACACTGCGCCACCTCGAAAGGCTTCGTACGGAAGCGACCAGTCTAGGATACAAAGACCACCGACCACCATGTCCACACGATCCAGTCGCCCAAGTAGGTCCAGTTCAACGAGTCGGGCTCCTGGCCCAGGCCAGTTCCAGTCGCTCCACGACATCATCGACCACACTTCGCCCCTCCAAAAGCTAGCGAGGCTCGATCGTACCTATCTGGATAGTCTGCCCGCCCAAGACTCTTCCCCGATAGCAGGAAGAGGGCAGTCCCAGAAGCAGATTAAGGACGCGAAGCGTGAAGCATTGCGGAGAGTGACAACAGATGCGCCAGCTTCACACCCCGGTGAAGGCCTTCCTCCGACACCCGACACCATTTCCACATCAACGCTTCGAAGATTCAAGACGTCAAATGATACGCTCTCGAAGCAACGAGCTGTGTCGGATCATCATAGCTATCGGTCAGTGTCAAGGGGAACGTCCAAGGATGACGAGGGGGATCACGGCGGAGGTGCACCGGTATTTCAACATCCCCCATCCTCTGCATTCACTGGACCCGAAGAGCCAGCCAGTGCCCATTACTTCGACTCCCGACCGCCTTTGATCCCTCGCCCCAGGTCGGCAGATGAAACGACGATATCGAATCATAGAGAACTCGACTGGGACTCTGATGGAGATTCGATGCACTCCCTCGACTCTAGCCTCGACATTTGGCTACAGCAAGGCAAGGACCCAAAGTACATTGCACAGCAGCGGAGTGAGTCTCCGGACCTATTCAGTTTTCCTCCGTCCGGCGGATGGAACACAGCTGGCATGTTCGGTTCTTCTGGTGGTGCATTTGAGGTCCCAGGTCTCCCTCCGCCGCAACGTAATGCGGCCGAGGATGCCCTCTTCCAAGACGGGGTCCAGCCCCTGCCTCCGCCGAATAGGAGGTCGAGTTTGGGTGCTAAAACAGGCCAGACCTCCTCAAAGAACATGCCCATTAACGGCAAACTTCGCAAGTCACCTTCTCGAAGCGGATCTAGGCGCAACAGCGTTGATGCGCAAATGATCCAGCTGGCAGAGGCAGTGGCCAATAGCCCGCAGCATGATTCAAAAACTGGTACTCGTTCCAAGGACAGTAGCCACTACCCCCCTTCCTCGACTGCCGCGCCCCGTGGGCATCGGCTGAATTTCTTCAGACGGTCCATCGGAGGTAGCACCGCTCCGAGTCCCGTCCAACATGCGTCACCAGTAGCTGAACCGCCCGCACCAACTGTGACCCAAGCCCCGATGGGAGTCCCATCATGGGTGCAGCGAAATCACCCGGGCGAGGAAGATAGGGCCAGCGCGACACCGCCTCCCATTTTGCGAAACCCTCGTCCGGCTCGTTCTGGCAGCTTTGACGAGGGTGCGCCTGTGTATGATCACGGCCCTGCAGCCCCGACAACACCTATGGCAAACCACGCTCCGAACACGCCGAACGCAAATGGAACGCCTGCCTCCACAGAAACTAAGCCCACGAGCAACTCTGCGAGTGGTGGCGCACCCTTGCACAAGCGGAAATGGTTACCTGGCTTTGGTCGAGCGAGCAGTCTACGGAACCGTGCTGGCTGAGGAATCTGGCAGTCATCAAGCCAATCGCCGCCAGGAACTGGTGAGGACACGAGCAGAGCCGGCGGTCCAGGAGATCTGCCAATAACGGGAATCTGGCCCAATGTAGCATATTTGGCCCCTTCGATGGGCTTGTTGTAATACCTTTGCCTCATGCGTCCCCAAAGTGTGGTACGCTAATGACGCGTTGTACGATGAGGACGAACCAAGCAGGCCATGATCTGGAATCTCAGTTGAAACCCGCCGAGAGTTTTGGAATTCGGGAACGGGTGGGACGGCGTTGAATAGCTACGAGCGGAAAAGCACGGCACTGCACTTCAGTCTATGGAAGACTGTGCTTTCAGGGTATCGATTCATCAAAATAGAACTTGAATTATCCTTTTCTTGAAGAAGTATGTCTGCGCCTATCTTGTGACTCTGAATGATATCACCCTATCTCCTAGTTACTGTCACCGCCTCGTCCACCGCAGGCGTACATCCTTGGGACGGTTCATCTGTAATGTCAGCCTAGGCTGGCTGTCCTGCGTCAAGTCCAGTAATCTCTGTCTAGCCTGTGCTGCTGCTACCTCTGTTGTTGTCGTTGATTGGGTGGTACTGTCATCATCGTCTTCGGGGACTGGCTCGACGGTGCATTTGTGGAAGAGCGTTGCGAGGACTGTGACGAACTCGACTTGGGCCATTTTCTGGCCTGGGCATGTGCGGGGCCCGGAGGACCAGGGGAGGAATGTGCCGCGGGGGGGTTGGATGTGAGGAGATTGTGATGAGGATGATGATGGTGACGGCTGGGGTGAGGTGAGCCATCGGGTTGGGGTGAAGGATAGGGCGTCGGCGCCCCAGGTTTTGGGGGATGTGTGGAGGGCTACTGTGTTTATGTAGACTGTGCAGGGGGGGAAGGTATAGGATGAGGTGGTTGTGGATGGTGGTGAGGTTGTTGAGGTTGAGGTTGAGGATCGGGGGTTTGTTGATGTTGGGATCTGGCTTGGGAGGGTTTGGGTTGTTATGTTTGAGCGCATTAGATGGGTCAAGGGTGGAAACAGGCGGAGGGTTTCGAACTGGTGCTTTCTATTAGTCTTGATCTTGTAGTTACGTTGTGTATCTCTTCTCGAGTAGAGGGGGATCTAGTTATCTAACAAGGGGAGATGGGATAAGATGGAGGCTGGCTTCACTCAACATGTGTGGGAAGAGATATAGACTGAGCGAGGACGAGCAAGAATGGAAGTTGAAAGACTCACCATGACAGCGAGACATCGCGTCAGTTTGGGAAAAACGACGCTGTAGTCCGGCAGTTCTCGGTTCTCCTGCTCCTGCTCTGGCGAGGACGATGTTGATGATGTGGGAGGGCCCAGAACGACATCGAGCTCGGCTTGGATCCAGGCTTGCCACTCGGGGTGCGCTGCGAGGAGGGTGACGGCGTATGCTAGGGTATTTGCCGTCGTGTCGAAGCCCGCGGCAGTGAAGATGAAGAGGTTGCCTGCGATTTCTTCTTCTGTGAGGTATGATTTGGGGTTGCTGTTGCCGGTGGCGGCAGTAGCGCTCTTTTCGGCGGGAATGGCACGGCTTTTTTCTTGGTCTGAGAGGCGGACGAGCATACTCATAATCGTATCCGTCTTTCCCACCGTCGCTGTGGTCAATATTCCGTCCGAAGGACCATTCAGAGATGGTACCTCTGCTAACCGCTGTCTCTCGCGATCCAGCATGTCCACCGTCAGACTAGGTAGTCGGTGTAAGGCCGCCCCTAGCGTTTGGACTACGTTGGACATGAAAGAAAGCCTGAGGATGCGGATCGGGATGAAGGCGGCGAGGTCGAGGAGTTCTGTGCAGAGGGAGATTGCGTCGACGTAGGACATTGGTGCCGAGGGGTCGCCGGGGAGAGGGGTGATGGCGAAGGGCTTGTTGTCGCCGTAGGCTATCTTTGTGAGCACGTTTATTGCGATTGTGCGGAGGCCCTGGATTGTTGTTGAGGTTGTTGCTGTTGTTGTGGCGAGACTAGGGGTGCTGGTGGAAGGGGATGAGAGAATGTCGTTGACGAAGGATTCTGCTTGTTTGGCGGTTGCTTTGTAGACTTCTGGGCTGATGCGTTCGTTCAAGACGGGGGCTACGACGCGTCTTTGGCGGGACCAGGATTCGCCGTTGGACTGGAAGATGAAAGGATTGTTATCAGCATGAGCATCTTCTCTCAATCTTGATGAAGAGGGATGAACGCCACATAACCAGACTTGCTCATCCATGAGGCTTTTCAAACTGAGATTTGAACTCCAGGCTAGGTTGTGGAAAGGCAGTCAACGTACAGTCAAGATATTAGAACCCAGGAAGCCCATGACCTTGCACACGATATCCGGCTGGACAAACTCTCGCCGTCCGTTCAAGATGGCGTGCGCCATGGCCGGGTCAGCGCATATGAGCTGGTTGAGGCCCGTGGTGACGAGCATGAAGGCCGGACCGACGCGGTCGTGGACGGCGGACTTGTCGCGAAACTCCCAGCCTACGATAGTGAGTTCTACGGTGGCGAAGAAGGTTGGCGGGAGAAGTCGTTTGAGGAGAGGGCGAAAGGGGACGGAGAGGACGACGTGGATGAGCTTGAGGTGTGTCAGATGAGAATAGGTCGGTTGAGATGTCGTGGAAGCTTACGTTTTCTGGGTCATATGGGCATATTATGATTGGCAAGCCTACGGTGAGAGCTGATCTGTAGTTTGTGTAGAGAGTCCATATTTGAGAAGCGATCCAGAGGAGCGGGAGGGCGATGAGCCCAGTGAGGATTGGTCCCATTGCGGCGGTGTCGTGAGACGGACTTGACGATGTTTTTTGTGAGTTTTGAGTGAAGAATGTGAGTGAGAATGAGATTTGGCCCTGATGCTGACAATCGAGATGAGATGAATGGATGAGGGGCAAGGGGCTAGTCCCATCACGTGTAAGGTACGCTACGATATGCACGATCCTTCAGACGCAATCCTTCAGGCACAAGAGAGATTGGACGATAACCTGCGAAACGGTGACACAACGTAAGCTGGATTTGACATGGTTTAGCTTGATAGCAGCTTCCACGTTTCAAGACGGACCGAATTCCACTAGAAAAGCCTTAGTAAACCTCAATGTTACTGCGTTTGAAGGGAAGGTGAGACAAAAAGCGACGGTGAATCGTTGGACTGCTGAGATTTCGAGGCCGCCTTGAGTGAGATGGAAGTTTCGAAGCGATAATTGGAAACTGATAATGCTCAAGTGGATGGCTCTGAGGGTCTCGAACTCGTCAAAATACTCAAGCGCTGATGCTCCGTCCTAAGGTCGATATGAATAATCCATCCTAAACGCGTTTAACTTGACCCGATCGGTACCGGGTTCGGATTCGCCTTTAACCTTCGGCACGGTGAACGCAAATTGCCCCGACTCACCCCACTCCGGCACGGGATTTATGGGGCGCGACGGGGGGATTGGCACCGTGAGGAACAGCGCAGGCCCGTTGGCCTGAGAAGGCATTCGAATTCATCTTGGAGCGATTAAGTACGAGAAGGGCAAAGTCGCGAGACTGATCGCCTTCATTCGATTTACTTCCGGCTGTTGGACATGGCTGGTGGGCTCATGGCTCAGTGAGCTAGTCTTTTTTGGCGTTGAGTAAGCAGGAAAAAGGAAAACCCATCTGTGTTGTGGCTTTCTCGCACATTCAGCCTCAGATCAACCAACCACTTCCTCAGGTGTTCGATTTGACCGCTTCAACTGACCTGTCCCAGTCCTCCATCTTGTGCGAGAGGTCGTATAGGGGGGATTCTCACTGATTGACGAACTTTCCAACGCCCAAAGCACTGCGCAGCGCAGGGTGGTCGATTCCTCACTCATTCTCCAGCGACCGCCGGAGAGGTTAGACGCGCTTCGCTTCAACTCTTCGCGAACAGTATCTGAGCATACAAGACCACCGCAGAAACAACTCTCTTCAATGACCGCCCGGCACAAAAGCCCGAAAGCTACGGACGGGCCACTCTCCGGTTACCCATTTGCTCTGATTCCAGCCGCATCGTACAGCGCGCTGGCACAGCTCTATCACCTCGTACGGCTTTGTATAGGCGATCAATGTCGGCTCGCGCGTCTCCTGTCACACTCGCGACAATCGGGCCTTGCACCAGCAGCTGGAGCACTAGTTGACGGCGGGTACGCGCGTAGCTTCGCGGTCGTGGTGTTTGCTGTGCTGGTGAACCACGTGAGGAGGATGCTCGCGCCCGCGCTAGGCGTGGGCGCGTTTGGGGGTCCCATCGCGACTCTGAAACTCGCTGTGGGCAGTCCAGCGCTTTTTCTCAAGGAGGAGATCGAGGTTGGCTTCTTCGGAAGGGTGTTCACTCGCCAAGGAGCATCGAAGCTTCTTGGAGATGTGATTGGGACAGTCATCCTTCAGCGTGTCTTGATCGGCTCTGCGTCGGAACTGAACTCGATCAATAGAGACACCAATTTCAGGCCAGATAATCAAAGAAGAAGCAGGAGCGGGATCGGTTTAGATGGTGTTCGAACTAGGGCGCTCGAAAAGCGGAAGACTGCCGCGCTTGTCTTCGATCTGGTCTGGATTCTGGGATGTGCCGAGTATCTCCACGCCAGAGTGGCACATGTCGTGGCCGTCGGCATCGCGTACTTCAAGCTCTTGCGGGGCGGACTGCTACATAAACAGGCTCTACGTGAAGTGGTGCTCCCCTTCACGTCGCCGAATCCTTCTTCGCTCATCGATAGTATTGGGGAGACTCTTAACGTCGTGGGCTTTCATCTCGAGCTGGTATGCTTCATCGCCTGGGGCCTCTACCCCTTACTTAGACTCGCCACAGGCTCTACGCTCAGGATGGATCCGAGGAAGAGCAGTCCTGAACTAGCGATGTTGATTGCTGCTTGGGCTTGGGGAACTGGGTACGTGACGAGGTACTCGAATAAGTACTACATTGGTCTGGAGATGAGCGGACTCTTGCTCGTGATGTGGTGGGTTTCTGCCATCGGCGTACTTCTTGGCTGTCACTTTTTCTTTTCCAAGATTAGATCTTTACAGACTTATTAGAGATATAACAGCTTAAAAGTACATAATGTAGACATTGTCACAAATGTTCCAAAAACATTGAGCTGAATTCGAAGCTTCATGGGGAAGCGAAAGTGGCTACATTGTTCCTCTTGGTACGATGCGTCGATAGGAATATTCAATATGAATTATTATGGACTCAATAGATGACTTTTGCCACCACAGGATTGGCGCATTGTCGCCATGTTACGTTCCTGACGTAGCTCGTTACTTTCTGCTTTCCTTTGTGGACTACCTTAGCAGCCGACTTTTGGGTTGATTTTCCTTTACTCCTATCCAACGCCATCACATAACCCTTGACCATCGACAGCCACTCGTACACCAAAATTAAGAGATTGGTAAGGGCCAACACTAGATGTCGACGGAAATCCCATCATCATTTTCACCCGAGATTCCTTATTTATAGCGCCTCATACACTTGATCCAATCCTCCCTTAACTTCGTTCCGTCGTATGCTTGAAGTCTCTCTGTACTCGAATGGCGTGAAGGGGAATTTCGTCCTCGCTCTTGTCATCTCTCTCCTTGACGGGATAACTCGAGACTGAGTACCCAAATCCAGTGGTGTCTGGTCTCAGCTTTGAGTCCTCCAAAGGTGGTGTAGGCTGACGACTAGTGCCCTCGGATCCGTTGTCGTCTGGCAACCGATAAAAGGCATCTTCGCCGGCGCCGTGCTTGGTCGTCGAGAGATTGCGGGCGATTTGTGAGCCGCCATTGGTCGTGTGGGGATCCTGCGAGGACATGCCGTTGCTGAAGTTGGACTTGTTTTTGCTGGAGCCGAAGCCCAATGCCGTCGTGCTGCGGAACATGCCGCCCATGCTGCCCTTGAAACCGCAGGCTCGAACGATGCGCTGCACGGCGGGACGGATAGTAGGTAGGCAGGCGGAGACAATGCCAGCGGACATTTCGATGGCGGTCCAGCCGACTGTTGGGGCGAGAGTGTAGCTCGGGTCGGTGCCACTGTAGGTGAAGAGGACGCTCGTTCGGTATGCCGAGGTGAAGACAACGCTGTGATACGCGTGAGCAAGACCGAGTGATTGTGGTTCTTACGGCAGAAGGCACTTACAAGAAACCGAGACCAAAGGCGAAGGTCAAGGCAATCTTCTCAGCCTTTTGCAGTTGCAGCTTCCACACCTGAGGAAGAGGCAGCAACAAGATGAGAAGATCGGTGAAGATAGTCGAGGCTGCGTTGGCGATCCAGGTTGCAACTTGGTTGATGCATCTGCCCGGGATGTCGGGATACCACAGCTTCTCGACAGGGACGCAAATAAAGATGAAGAGGAAGGTGATGCAAATGACCCAGGCGAAGACAAAGGAGATGACGAACCACGTCATCTTCTTGAAGAATGGGATGTGGAAGATGCGGTAGTACATCAACATCAAGCTGAGCTTGGTCCAGCCCAGATTCCAGGCGTAAAGAATCTCTGCGACGACGAGATACTTGGCCATCAACACGATATTGTCGACGCCGACCTTGTCTGCGTGGAGGCCCATGCCCACCGAGTGCATCGCGAAGATGAAGCCAACAACAACAAGGTTCCATAACTACTACACAGTCAGCTTCTAGTCATATCTGGAGAGTCATGCCTCTGATTCGAAGCATGACGTTGGTGGGAAACGCACCATCGACCAGACAATCAAGTAATCATCCCACCACAGCTTCTGACCCTTCGTTTGACGACTGATCAGGCGGAGAATAACGGCGAGTACTGCGAGGACCGTCACCGAAACCACAACTTCGACGGTCCATGGCTGAATGTTCTGAGGGTCGTATCCAGGAAGCCCGGGCAACGGTGACGGACCTGAGTCGGTCGACATGTTTTCGTGAGTAAAGCGCCTTTCACCTCACTGCGGCGATGTGTTGAGTAATTCTACAGATGCCGCGGGGAAGAGACAACCAAATTCTCGGGAATCGGGGTTGGGAGGGTCCAGCCTGATAGCTGCGAACAAAAGAAAGAAGGAGGGTCTGGTCAACTACCAAGGGAAGGGGACGGGTCAACGCGCATTCATCAATCTCTCTTCACTCCGAACGGAATCGCTTCGCAAGAGGACTCCATAAACAGAAGCAGGGCAACTGGATCACTTTATTCTGCCCAGGCACCGACTAAAAGGATGGGCAGAATCCTTCTGCAAGAAACTGCCGTCCTATAGCCCTGGCCCCTGAAAACAACGTGAAGCCTGCTAAGAGACGAGCCCCTGGACAACGTGGGAATGACGAAAAGCTAGGAAAACTGGGGAGGAAAGAACGTGTGTTCTTGGTTAAACACATGCGAGGATGGTGAACACTATGCGAGGGTCTGATGGAACTCTCCGTTCGGCCGCCATTGCTTCATTCCTAAAACGGCGGCCAAGAAGAGGGCCGCATATATGTCAAACGAGATATGCAACCAAAAAGGGAACTCGATCATCCACAGGAGAGGCGAGCGAGTGGGTGGACTGACAGGAAAGGATATCTGATAGACCTGCAAGGTTCACAAAAGAGGTAAATTCTTCGATGCCACGAGGGATGTCAGGCAGGCCCCTGGTCTATCTCCTGTCTATGTATGCATGTTGCTGTATTATTTCGTACTTCAGTCGCTGCCATTGCTCGCCGCAATGTTGATCGCCTCGTTTCCCAAGCGAGAAAGGAAGAGAAAGTCCACAATAAGTGAGTGTTTTTCCACGCTTTGTGGACCGAGGTTGCTAGCGGCCAAAGGATGACAGGCCTCTGCAGGTCGAACGACGTTCAGAATTTCGGCGTTGTTCTCCACTAAATTATGCGATGCCCTGGGGCAAAGTGACATGGCTGGATGGGGATCATCCCGGATTGCTTCGCCCGGTGCTGGGATCCGACTTAGAGGTGCCTCAAATAGGCATCGGCTAGCACCCTTCCCTTCGGCTCTTCAAGTCTCCAAGGGCCACTAAGACGTTTTTGCTGGCGTTGCCCATTGCCCAGAGTTGGATTCCCCTGGTCGGCCCGGGGCTCTCGTTGTCGGGAGATTTTATGACGGCTGGGCCTTTCATTATGTGGTCGTTCTTACACATTGAATTCCGCATCCGGGCTTTGGCCGGCTTTGCCTTGAAGCTTGGAGCTTTTGCGAGAGCCAGGAACAACAGACTTTCCAACAAGGGCTCGCTTCCACCCCCTAGTCGACGCCTCGGCAGCCGCATGCGTCGCAGATGAAATGCATGGCGTGTGGGATTGGGGGCGGCAGAAGGGGATCGAAGGAATGCCTCGCGTCAAACGATCGGCCCCGGCCGCTTGAAGAATTCCCCTGAAGAATTCCCGAATTCATCGCATCAGAGCCAGACATGTTGTGCGTTTAAAGCCTGACCAACCCGTCCCCGTCCACTTTGCTCACAGACATTTTCGGCCTCCCACCCGCCTTATGTCTATGAAATACCGAACGGATAGAAGCAACACTAGAGGAAGGATGTACCCGTCCCTCCCGACAGTTCGTTTCTCTTAGACGGGCGGGAAAGGGAATTGACTTTTGACTTTCAACGGTCCTGTCTCTTCCAAAACGACGGCGCCTTTATCAACCCTGACGCCACGAACCCGAAAATGGTATGAGATGAACCTCTCACCACCGTAACCGCAACGCCATTCACAGCCGGCCCCGCTGCCGATGAGTGAACCCCCTTTCTAGCGGTAGGATGACCGAGCAAGAATGGCACCTCAGGTAGAGTCGTTCTCGGGTTCTTCGGTCGTCCGTCACTATAGCGCCAGCGAGGACGCTAGCTGGGGAGAACGTGGCCACCGCCAGACTAAAGCTGGCTGCTCATTTCGCCCCTCAAAAAGCAATACCCGAGTCATGTCCCGTCCCTGTTGCCGATGTCTGTGCTTCGGCGATAGCACGAGTGACGAAAGGATATTCCTGGAAGACATCCAAGCGCAACGCGTGGTCGCTGATCACAACAAGCTCCTCTCTGGAGTCTGTTCCACTTGTCAAAAGAAGGATGTTGTCGGATACCGTTGAGTGTCTCCTCCAAGGGACCAGGACTGGCGAATAATGAAGACTTGGTGACTTGTTCAAACTGGAGTCGTCCACAACCGTTTTTTCTGCCATCTCCACCTCACCGAAACAGGGACAGGCCTCACCGTGAGGCGACTCGTTTGGGAAAACCAGTCCGTGGTCTACTGCGACAAATGTTACGTTCAATTGGGCTCCCGAGGCTTCTCGGCGGAGCCGGCCGTTTGAGATACACCGCCGCCTCTGAAGTTTACCCAATGCAACCCGCAACTGGCGCCACGAGGGGTAGGATCTCCAGAACCCCTCATGAGTTGCTTAGTACATGTAGAAATCTGCATCTCTTTCAAACCTACTACTAAACCTAACTTTTGTCCAAGCCACCTTTCTCTGACCTCCCGGAACCGAACCAAACTCAAAGCAGCTCGTCATATACTCGCAGACAGCAGAGCAACAGGGCAGAAACGAACTACACACACAAATCACATCATGGCAGCCACAACCACCATCCAAGTCCCCCACCTCGGCGGCATCACGGCCGGCTACCGTCTGTCCGAGGACAAGGTCGACCCCGCCAAGCCCACCGTCGTCCTCATTAACTCCATGTGCACAACCGTCTCCCTCTACAATGACCAGTTCAACAGCAAGACACTGACGGACGCCGTCAACCTGCTGGCCATCGAGCCGCTCGGCCATGGCTCCACCAGCTGTCCCGTAGAGCACTTCACCTACTGGGACACTGCCATCATGGCCCTGCAGGTCATGGACAAGCTCAACGTTCAAAAGGCTTTTGCTCTTGGCACGAGTCAAGGTGGATGGATGGTCACCCGTATGGCCATTTTGGCCCCTGAAAGGGTACGTTACGATGCCACGTGACATTCAATGGCCCCGTTACACTGTCAATTTGTTTCCCAGGGATCGCGATCTCTTTTGAGAAAGAGGATCGTTGTTTCCTTATGGGATTGAGTTTTCTGGACTGTGCTGAACTCCATCGAATCTAGATTCTGGGTCTCTTGCCCTTGGGCACGTCCATGGACTACGAGTCAGCCGACTCCCGTGTCAAGGGCTGCTGGGACCCCAAGGCCCAGCTCCTGGCCTTTTACGACGGCTGGTCCAGTGCCACCCCGACGCCGGACTTCGTCGTTGACGATATCTGGTGCGGCATGGTTGGCAGCCTGGGCTTCTCAGGCACCGTCCCGCCCGAGACCCTTGAGTTCTGGACAAAGACCCTTAAGTCTGTCTACAAGGGTGACGAGGGCCGCAAGAAGCTCAAGATGGCCCTGGGTAACCTTCTGTCGAGAGACGGCCTGCTTTTGAGACTGAGAGACGTCAAGTGCCCCGTCTACTGGCTCCAGGTATGTGATGTTACTACGGTCGAACGACTGGACTATCTTTGAGCGCCTCGCTGACCAAATCTTAGGGAACCGCCGACCCTGTTTTCGGTGTCAACATCCCCGGTGAGCAGATCAAGCTCTTCACTTCCGCCCCGGAGGCGACGGTGACGTTGGTTGAGGGCGGTGGCCACTACTTGAACGCCACCAGCCCGAAGGAGGTTGAGGAGGCTCTGCTGAAGATGGTCAAGACGTACGCCTAAGTCCGAGTCTTCGTTGTACTTTTTTCGGGATGAACTATGGCGTTATGATCATGAGTCGTGAGCACGATAGGCGAGAAAAGCATGCAATACCAAATGGCCCCCAAGTCGCATGCTGGGCAAGAAGCACGTAACATAAAGTATTCGTAGCAATGGTGGAAAATGAATGGAAATCCCAATGCTTGATCACATCTGGGCTTGGTCCGAGTGTTCCCCGGTCAAAAATCCGTCTGCTCGGGGTCCAGTCCGTATCCCATCTGCCATCCCAAGGAGGAAACGCAATGACCTGTCAACATTCCCGAGCGCCCAGTCGTCAGTCAGGGGGATGTTCACGTCGATCTAGCGATCCGAGCGTCACCTATTGAAGAGCCACCACAATTGCGACCTTAATAGACCCTCATTCAATGCGACCAGGCCAATTGCCTCAACAGCGCATTGATGAGTGTTCTCGCCTCCAGCCCTTCAGTCATATTCGGCCATGGTCCGGTCATAACACACGGACTGCCGTGAGGCTGAAAAGTCGTCGCCACACTACCGAGCTGGGTTGTGATTCCTATATGGCCGGGGAACCAGGCCCGGGCTGGCATTTTCATTGGAAAATAACCATAAAGCCGGGGCTTTGCTCGAATGGGGAAACACTGGGAGCGACGGGGAGCCGAGTGAGCGAGCGATTCGCAGCGAAATAGGTGAACCTACGCGCGTACTACAGCGTTGGTTGGCTGATTGTCAGCCGATGAGTCGCACAAGCTAAAGTCGACCCGTTGCCGCGAGTCATTAAGAGGCAATTTGCACTTTGATTGTGAGTTATCATAAACCATCGCCAAAATACTCGCAACTGCCACAGCTGACCCATTAGCATGCTAGTAAATAAAACCTGAGTGTCAAATGTGTATGACAAAGTCATTTGCCAGTCAGAACATAGATTCCCGACAACATATTTCTATCGATTAGACTACTATGACCGCGATGATAGTGGCTGCTTCCCAGTTGTTCTTACTGGCTACAGCATAAGCTTTCCTCAGTATAGCTACCTGTACTCTAAGCTATATAATGTACGTAAGGCAGCGGCAGTGATAAGAAGGGAGGTTTCCGTTGTCTTAGTGGTGGATTGCAGGACTGTGAACAGGATGTGTGTTCTGTAATACTCGACGAGCGAGCTCCTTCACCCGGGAGTTTAGATTTGGCTAGCTAAAGATGGACGACTATCTCAAGTACTAAGGTGCCTTCCAATGTCTGCAGCAAAACATTTACTGTATTCGTATTCAACCCCCAAGGACTTCTAAAGTAGGAGCACGTCCTGTTTGTGTCCAGTTGCAAAGACTCGCCCATGGGCGCCCTCAGAGAATATCAGAAATATTCCGACTCGATAATATCCTTCGAGGCGATCCGCCGGGTGAACGATGAGCCCCCAAACAGTCTTCGGAGCATCGCTGTCTTTACAGAAGGAACATTGCTCTGGCCTTCGCCAGTCTTCACAATTGAAGACCGTTTCACCCTCTGGAAAAGGAAAAGACTTCCCCGGCCCGTCTCGTAGACTGGACAGGTATCGCAGTTTACCCCAGTTGTTAGTCTTGAAACAACAACTAGACGTCAACAAGAGCTTCATATGGCCTGGTTGCTGTCTAGTAGCGGCGTCTACGGACCAGTCAAACATGCAGAGGCCACTTCCATCAGAGAAGTATCCGATCGGGGGGTTCCCCCTGCGTTTGGGTTCGATATTCACGTCTGAGGGGAAGTCGGCCAATGATGCCTGCATTCGAAGGTATGAACCGGGATTAAGCCTACCAAACGGGCTGCGCCATTGCAAGTCCATATGATTCTCGGTGATGGTGTATTCGGCTCGAACATGGGTTGGCAGCGTGTCTGATAATGACATAAGCTTCTGGTTGTTGGAGAGCTTCTCTTGTGGCCTAGGATTGTCGACGTTGTATCGTCGACACGGTAAAACCTCGAACGGCCGTAGCTGAGAAACCCAACTCCACGACGGGCCGACGTAAGGCTCTTGACCTCTCTTCTGTTGGAGTGCTGTCTCGAGTGTACCAACCTCTGGGTTGAGCATTTCCCAAACAAGCCCGTGTTGCAAGTCATTCATCCATAGGCCGGCAAGGTAGGTATCTCCTGTAATCTTGGCACACTCCTCGGCCAATCCTGCTATGCCGGCCAAGAGATCATCTCTGTAGCTCCACGACCTTGTCTGAATCTCCAGTATCTCTTCCCATCGGGCGTAGGCGTTGCGCACCCTACGCCGTCCTTCAACAGGATCAGCTGGCTTCGGCTCCCGTGCTATGTTGACGAGTGTTCTCAAGGACCCGTGAACGACTGATCCGAGGTTCACATATGAATTCTCAGATGTTGAGCCGTTCTCGCAGGAAAAGTGCCACAGTCCAGGCCCGATGAATAGCAGCCTCGTCGACAACATGTTCTCCTGGAAGGTCCAGCCCCTTGTTTCCCATACTGCCTGCTTCAAATCATGAAGCAGTGCCGAAGAGTTCCAAATCGGCTTCCGATCATCCGAAGATGGGAAGAAGGTGTAGGTCCCGCGAACGATCTCGCGTCGTTTCGACTGAAATGGCAAGTCAAGACCTGGTGCCCTTTCACCAAGGTACCCCTGCAAACATGACGTAGATACCAACGGACAAATGGTCAGAGTCGAACAATAGTAGACACGACCCATGGTCAAGCTTTCAGTGTTCCAGTCTTCTATGTCTCCTTGAATGATGCAAAGGGCATCTACCCAAAGATATCGTAGACCGAGAGCTCTGCAGGTGATGGTGGTGTCTCTCACAACCGGACTCATTAAGTCGAGTGGTATACTCTCAAGGTGTTCTGATAAGTTCTCTGTGGTGGTCTTCAGTTGTTCAGCTGCATCTTCTCTGGAGCCCCAACAGTAACTGAGTGTCGCATATTCAATTCCGTGAAGGATGTCCTTTCCTTCGTGCAGGGCACCCGAAGTAACAAGGCGAGGGACATCAAGGTCGGTGCTGCCGACGTCTATGAGTCTTGTTGGAATGAAGGCCGTGTCTTCCTTGACATGGTTACACTCGTCCTGACATCGTTTGAGCTCGTACTTTATCCAGTCGACGTTGGCGGGATCAAGTAATCGAGGCCGTCGCTTGTCGTCGACTCGCAACCAATCTGTGACATTGTCTAGTGCGGATGGGAACATATGTAAGCTCAGACAACTGCAAATCAATTATGTCGGATATATAGAAACTCACCGTCATCCGATTCGATGTTAAACGTAATGGCTGCAAGAAACTCCTGCTCAGGGCGTTTGTATACTTCACATCGCCAAAATACTAGACCTTCCTCGTTCGGTTTCGAGCCGAATACATCTCTGTCAGCCCCCCATATGTATCCGCCATTAATGTAGACATCTCCCCTATAGTCTATACCGCGTTTAATGACGTGTTATCGGATGAAAGTACGCAGATGACAGCCTTTCTCAGAAGACTCAGTCATCACTGACAGTGAAGGCAACGAGTCTTTCCATTGGCAAGGCGATCCCAACATGATCATTTCACCCTCGCCTTCAGCTTTATGTCTCAGTACCACAGAAGCCTCTGACGTATCAGACTCTCCTTCAACGAAATCATCGATGCTGTCGTCCAAGAGAACGGGAAGACACCTTCCGCAAAGGACTGTACCTCTCAGCGCCCCAAAACCGACGGGTAACGAAGGCGACATCGATTCTTGAGTTGTGAGAGTAGAACACTAGTATCAGTCTATCTGGGGGTACGTATGAGAGTCAGAGTCGGTGTTCATCACTGTTATAAGGACCATGTAGAAGTCATGACGAGGTCGTTGTCGTCGTCGTTGCCTAATGCAATGAGTGATTTGTCACAAAGCGGGGAAGAATCCCTGCTCCATCCCTGACTACGGGATTTCTTCGTTGTTCGGTGCATCATCAACACATGGCATACTGAGACTATTTCAGCACGTTCATATCCCTATTCTATCAACTTCTAAATAGCGTCGATACATCCTTCTCCAGCCTTTCTTTAGTCCTGCTTAATTTCAGAATTATTCGTGCTTAGCCAGATAAGGTAGAAAGGAACGAAGGCCAAATTCATACGTGATACATTATTGCCTGTCGAAAAAGCACGCATTTTATTGTCGCTGTATGGAAGTCGACAGGGCATAGTTCAATTGAAGCCAGTCATACTTTCATGTACCGAGACGAATTTCACCATACTTACCTTAGATCAAAGCAATTGCATGTTAAGTATACGTTACTATTCTTCCTGCAAAATCTACTCAGGAATGTTGCAAGCTTCCTATATCACTTGCTTGATAAATTTGCCTTTGCGGTATGGAACCTGCCCCTGAACTTGTACAGGCTTTTTGCGGAAGATGCTTTTCAGTCGGAATGAACTCCCGGGAGAGTAACGTGATGTAAGACGCATTTCACAATTCCTATTATCACTCTTCTTCCTTCTCTGGCTTCTGGCCGTAGACCACGTTACTTCGAAGTAGTCAGCATCGAGCTCGTCTACTCCCAGGTCACATCAGGCATCAGACTTACTAGTACAGCCACGCATGAATCTTGGGATCTTTCAAATCCTTCCGAACACCAGCCAACAAGACAAGGACCTCCTCCTTCGTCCACCCAAGAGCTCCGCAAAGAAGGCGCAGGGAGAAGCCTTCAAGGCCGTCCAATAGCTGAATCAACTCCAGCATTCCAATGTCCTTGAGATGAGGATCCTTCGCCCATGGACCAGCGGGGATCTTGAACGGCTGGTGGTGGATGTTGACGAAACCGGTGTTCTCACGCACGATGCCTTCCAGCTTGGGTCCGATTTGCCCATCTCGGCCAAAGATTTTGCAGGCGTCCATGAAGAGGTCTACCCACCGTAGGAGCTCGGTGCCCTCAATTGTACCATCGTCGGAGTAGATCATGAAACTCCAGTCTTGGAATTCGGCCCAACCGCCAGGATTCAAGTTACTGCCCAATTATCAGGATGTGCAATGCCTGAGAAGTTCGGGATGAAGTGGTGACTTACTCATAGACGCGCTTCACGTACTTTGGCCAGTCCGCGATGGACCCGCACATGTACCGGCTGAAAATGAAGTCGTATTCCTCTCCAATCCACTCGCTTTCGACGTCGTCAATCTCGAATTTGACGTTCGGCGGTATCCTTCACTTGGGTTCAGTACTTTGAGAGTTTCATATCTCGAAAAAGCTTACCAAGCTGGCTGAATGGCGCTGAGGTCGTTCCCAAGGATCTACTATCTCGTCAGCAAGTGCTTAGTATGGGCATAAATCCGCAAATGCATGCCATATCATCAGAATATGTATACCTCCGCATTTGGGTACTTATCACCCATCTCAATGGCCCCTAAAGTTGTTAGTCAGCCCTTTTTACGGCGACTGAGGAAGTTTGGTCTTGTATTACAGATGCCTGTCCCTGTGCCGACGTCAAGGACTCGATGCATTTTTGTCTCATCTACCGGGGCCAAGAACAGTTTGTCTCCAATTGTCTTTGTCAACAAGGCGTGGCAAAAGTCCAGTCGGTCCATCTCGCTCTGAACGTCTCAACGTTAGTCACATCAATCACAAGCCACTGTATCGGGTTCAGTGCCCTACTTCATCGTTGGGAAGGATGTAAGCTAAAGACGACAGTCAGTCAGGTCATCTAGGAATACAGTATTGGTGCCAGCATACATCCGGATCGAAACGAATGATATCGGCGACCGTGCTCGGTGGGGTAGTCAAGAACAGACGAGGATAGAGATGCGGTGTATGAAGAACTACAGAATTAGACCATTTGCGCTATGAAGATTTGACCTCAACTTGGGGCAAGAAGTTTCAGAGCATTACATTCTATCGTCAATGGTAGAAGCGTTGTCCTTACGACAGTAGATCTCAGTAAACGCGTAGTGAGCATGGACTTTGTGTGTCACGAACCGATTCGCCATCATCGATTGCGATATCAGCCTCCAAGTCAGTGGCTCCAGCGGGGGAAAGTCCAGCTGCGTCCGACGGTGTCCTGGTCTTTGGGGGAGACCTCGCTGCTTGTGGAGATTGGGCCGCAGGTGATCCTGCCGGCGACGTAGGTTTTGAGGTTGAGTCGGCCATGACGGTAGCGTTACGGTTGTAGCGCAACGAAGTCGGACATGCAGATGGTAAAAGCGCGAAAACTGATCAAAACTCAAACCGCCCTCCGTGTCGCACCCGGGCCCGCGGGGTTTTTAGCAGAGTTTGACAGACGACAGTCAAACCCCCGCAGCTTGGCGAGTTGTAAAATGTTGGTGCAGTGCTGTGGTGTCTGTTGGTTCTAATGTCTCGCCGGCTGCGTCTTAGTGTGCGGCACAGCTGCACATTGTGCATAAAAAACCAGTTCTCCTTCCCGATCAGGCTTGCTGCCGCGGTTGGGGTATCGAGCACGCACACCGAGACCTCGTGCCGCTCATCTCTCCCCGAACGTCTGGTTTCGGCACACTTACTCGGACCGTTTGGCTCTTGACAGAGATCCTTGCATTGATTGTCTTCAAGCCGATCGGCAATATCAAGTTGAGGTTTTCATATCTGCCTAAGTGGCACAATTCTCGTCTACATGTATCGATCAATTGTTGCGTCCTAAAAGGCATTGTGACGTGATCTTTGTTGTCAAAGGTAAATTCTCGCAGAGGCAAGGGTCATTGGGCTCCGAAACTGATTGAGAAATCATGGTACGACTGGTAAAAAGAAGTAGCGCAAGAATAAAGCTCTAGAGACGCATGTTCAAGGGTAGTATGCAGGTCGCCTGGGACCGGACAACCCGAAGCTCCGGAATCGATTCCGGTGGGTTATTGAACGGGGAGTTCGAGCTAACAAAGACAGCACTGTGGCTCCGCTAAATATCCCACCGGGGATATTCTTTTGTGCAAGAAAAACAGAATGACCGGCAGCCGCTTGTACATGTGTGCAATCTCCTACGCGGGTCAACACCATAGAATTTTGAGGGAGTGCTTACGCCCAAATATACGCCGTGTGATAAGTTCTATGAGTCCAGCTAGATCGCATGAGAAGATCTGGCTAATTTCATCCTTAGGAACGTGTCAATACTAAGCATGTGTAGCTAAGATCACTTTGAAGCGGTAGGCTCAGGGGCGAAGACATCTGATGCTCAGCTGCGGAAGATTCCCCACTTGGTAAGTCACACGTAGTGATGCGTCAAATGGGAAAAGTAAGCTGTCTTTACCACGGCCGGTCAAACTGCGATGCAGCATCGGAGCTGAAGTATGTTTAAGTGGCTACTTTATGCACTGAATAAGAGAGCCAACAAGATCGAACCAACCTACATCATTTCGCCGGCAATGGCTGAAACTCGTTAACCCACTGATTCCTCGGCTTGCTCAGGGTGCTCTTTCCACGCCGCAAAAAATCGCCATATCCCATCTTGCTAACAATACCGCTACCATCGCGGTCCCAAACCACTTTGCCTCGCAAGATGGTGTAACGCGGCCAATTGTTGAACTTCATCCCCTCGAAAGGCGAGTAATCGATATCATGGTGCAACATCGCGTTCTCCAAGACAAACGGCTCCATCTTTGCAGAGCCCGTCCCGCCGCTGACAGCAACTTGCTCAGCTGTTGGGTACCAAATGACAAAGTCGGCATCATATCCTGCGGCAATCGCGCCCTTGGTATCTCCCAGCCCGTAAAGCTTTGCCGGGTTTGTCGCCGTGACCTCGACAAACTTCTGTGGCGTCACTCTACCCGTTAACACGCCGCCCTCGAATAGCAGCGGTAGGCGTGTCTCAACGCCGGGAAGCCCGTTTGGAACCTGGTCGTACCTCATCAAGCCATCTTCCTTGCTCAATCCCGCCTTTTTGCCGTCCGGGTGATCATATTTGCTCGGCGCGTGATCTGAGCTGAAGGTCGTAAACGTCCCGTTGGCAATACCAGCCCACATGGCGTCCAAATCCATGCGGTCCTCACGTAATGGCGGACTGCAGATATGCTTCGCACCGGAGAAGCCATCAGTGGCCGGATGAGACGGCTTTAGGGCATCTGCTGTGAGGTAGAGGTAGTGGGGGCACGTCTCCGCGTGAATTGGCAAGAGCCTTGTCTGCGCGCTCCTGACGTGCGCAGTGGAGGTCTTGGAAGACATGTGAACGATGAGAATGGGGATATCAGAGAGCTCAGCAAGGGCAATAATGCGGTACGTTGCCTCATCTTCGGCGATGTTGGGCCGGCTGATGGCGTGATAGTACGGCGCAGTGAGTTTCTGCTCTGCAAGGCGTGCCGTGATCCAGGTGATCATGTCGCTGTTTTCAGCGTGCACCATGGTTGTCATGCCTAGGTTCCTCGTAGCCATCATGACATCTAGGATCTCGCCGTCTTTGAGCTGCAGGGGCTCGTAGGTCATGTAGAGCTTCACGGAGGTGATGCCCTCGCTAACAAAGAAGGGAAGTTCATCGCGAAGGATGGTGGGGGTTGGGTTTGTGAGAATGATGTGAAAGCCGTAGTCGCAGTATGACTTCCCTCGGGAGCGTGAGTGATAGTCATCTACGACTGGGTGAAGAGACTGGTGGGTGCGTTCCTGTGTAGCGAAGGCGATGATTGATGTTGTGCCGCCTGCAATCGCTGATCGAGTGCCGGTCTCAAAGTTGTCTCCTGTGGGAGAATTGTCCTGATACTGGTTTAGACAGGGGGATTCTGTTAGGAAATCGAGGAAAACATTTCTTACCTGGTCAAGGTGTACGTGGGAATCTACGCCGCCCGGCATGACGAAGCCATGTTGTGCATCTATCACTGTTTTGGCCGAGAAAAGAGACTTGAGACCCTGGCCTACAGTTAAGATCTTGCCGTCGCGAACCACGATATCTTGTCGTGCGTGGACATCAGATGCCGTTACCTATTTTGTTTGTTGCATCAGTCATTTGGCCGATGGGTTCCTTGGTACAACATGATTCATGTAATACTCACCACTGTGGCATTCTCAATGATGAGATCAACCTCCATGTCACTTTACCTTAGTGTGCGATAACAGCAAAAGTGTCTCAATGTGCTAAACGCGATTTTTGAGGCACTTAACCAACAACAAACTTCGCTTTGGTAATTCGTAGAGTTGTTTCAACCTGTCCTCGAGTTTCTCTTGACACCATATGGAGTATCTACAGAGTCATTGACGACATCTACATCGGCTGTAGACTTGATAACGCTGTTCCTGCGAAGATTAAATAGGCCTATCTGAGATAAAGATAGGCAGCCACGGCAAACTACCCGACGGCCTATCGGCGCTTATCGCCCACAACTTAGACTACCTTAGGGAGCTGCAGGGAATAGGACGGACGATACGGGGTATTGCACGCTGATCTCAATGCATGAGGGGTAGACCCAGCACCAGTTTGTTGGAGATTCGGAGAAGCTCTGCGACTTCTCGTGATGAAAAGAATAAGTTTGGACCGAAGTTTGCATAGTGGCGGTGAAAAGAGGGAATGTGTGAACCTAGCAACTTGACAACTGCACAAGAAAACCAGAAAATCAGCGGCAATGTCATCACGAAAGCTTCGCGTGGCTGCAGCCCAGATGGGCGCAACGCATTACAACGATCCACGGCCCAAGACACTGAATCGCATGATATCACTTCTTGAAGACGCAGCCGCAAAGGGAGCACAGCTGGTTCTCTTCCCCGAAGCCGCCTTCACAACCTTCTTTCCCCGGTATCTGATTAACGACCCCTCTGAACTTGACTCCTTCTTCGAGCACGGCGATGTAGCGACTCAGCCGCAGACAAAGCCGCTATTCGATAAGGCCAACCAGCTGGGCGTCGACATCTCGGTCGGCTTTGCCGAAAAGGCCGACAACGGCGAAACCTTCAACTCCTGCATCTACTATCACGCAAAGAGTGGCTCCGTTCTTTCAAAGTACCGCAAGATCCATCTCCCGGGCGACTTTGAGCCCTTTGCGGACCCGAATGCCACCAACCAGCTGGAGAAGCGCTACTTCAAGCCCGGGGACCTTGGCTTCAATGCGTTCCGGGTACCCGACCTGACGGAGCCGGACGCGGCGCCGGAGCGCGGGGACCCCATCTTCGGCATGATGATTTGCAATGACAGGAGATGGGCCGAGAGCTGGCGCGTCTTGGGTCTGCAGGGTGTCGAGGTCGTACTCTGCGGCTACAACACGGCCGGCTTCGCGCCGCATCTCTGGGGGACCAGCGCCAGCATGGATCCAGACGAGGCGCGGAGCAAGGCACTTTTCCACCACAAGTTGGTGATGCAAGCTCATAGTTACACGAACGCCTGCTTTAGTATCAGCGCTGCGAGGTGCGGTCTCGATGACGGGAAATACGACCTCATTGGCGGTAGCTGCATCACTGGTCCGGAGGGGGAGCTCATCGCTGAGGCATCTACGACAGAGGATGAGGTCGTCTATGCAGAGATTGACCTGGCTGAGTGCCGGCCGGGCAAGGAGCGCACATTTGACTTTGCCAGACATCGTCGCGTGGAGCATTATTTTCGCATCACAGAACAAACCGGCGTCGTGGAGCCTCCCAAGCTCTCATCCTCAGCCGAGACTCACAACGGAGCGGCAAGCAACGGCATCGCGCCCCAAAAGACTCAAAAGAAGATCCGCATCCTCCTCATCAACCCAAACAGCACCCGTGCAATGACCGACGCCTGCGTCGCCATGGTCGAGAGCCAATTACCCCCAGACGTCCTCGTCACAGGCTTCACGGCGCCTAGGCCGGCGCCCTCGGCCATCGAAGGTAGCTTCGATAACGTGATGTCAGCCGCGGCCGCCGCTCGCGCCGTCCTGCCCCTCGCGGCGACTCATGATGCCGTCTTGGTGGCGTGCTACTCCGACCATGCCCTAATCCGCATGCTTCGCGAAGAACTCCCTCGCCAGCCCGTCATCGGGATCATGGAGGCCTCACTTTTCGCAGCGCGGACGCTGGGCGGGCGGTTTGGGCTCATAGCCGTGAGCGAGCGGTCGAGAGTGTTGCACGAAGACAGCATTCACCATTATGGCTTCTCAACTTCCTGCGCCGGCGTGGTCTCATGTAAGCTGGGCGTGCTGGACTTGCACGAGAAGAGCCAGGATGAGGTCATGGGAATCATGGCAGCGGTCGGGAAGAAGTTGGTGGAGGAGAAGGGAGCCGATGTGTTGCTTCTGGGATGCGCGGGCATGACGCCGCTCAAGGGGGCCGTGGAGGCGGCTGTCGGGGACGGTGTCCAGGTTGTTGACGGCGTGTTGGCCGGGGTGCATCATCTTGTTGGATTAGTTAGAATGGGCGGTGCCACGGCCAAGAGGGGCGTCTACAAGAGCTCCGGTGACGGACGAAAGGCTAGAGGACAGGATTGGATCTAGTTTCCAGAGTTGGCCGCGGGAATAACACCAAGAGCTTAAATGGAACAAATATCAGCCGAAGCTTTATCACTCACACATCATGGACTTGTTGCTATCGAAATGCAGGGTTGTTTTGCTAATGATCCAATCGGCCAACGCCCCGTTATCAGAGCCCGATAGTCTGCAGATCAACTCAGAGTCTCAACCAACATGGAATCCTGGGGAGGACGCGGGGAACGAAGTCCGCAACGACATCAAGTTTCCTGACATGCTTTCCATCTTTGAATCCACACCATGGAGATCAACTTGAACGGCCAGACCAAAAAGAGTAGTAGGAACAGTCATCCTTGCGACTTTTGCCGTTACAAGCGCGCCGCTTGCCTTGTGCACGAAGACACGCCGCCATGTGAGCTCTGCCGACGTTTAGGCAAAGAGTGCACCTTTGTTGGGGGCCCTAACAAGAGGAGACGGCTATCCGAGCGGCGGCAAAGCGGCTCGAGCGATGGGATACGGAGCCCCCATCGCCAACAGGATGGAGCTGCCTCTGGAGCAGATGGGAGATTCCCGTCTGCGGAGGTTTCGCCCATTGCCGATTCCATCTTTGTGAGAGGGCTGATGGACTCTGCAAGCCCAATATCACCACATACAACGTCTTCACCAGATGTTTCACGTCGAGAGAATGTCTTCGTACCGTCGTCGCTGGACGCGGAGCCCGGTCACAATGCTCAGGTAATTGGTCTCAGCGGTGAATCGGATCCGTACTTGCTGAACCTGTACCACTTCGATGAAAGAGATGAATGCACCTTTCAGCAACTCCGCATCAGGAATATGGGGCCCGAAGATGGGGTTCCCATTCAGTTTATGCTACAGCGCAACTCACAAGCTAGTAAAGCACAACCAGGAGGGCTGGGAGCTACCGCGGCCGACCTTAGATGCGAGGTCTCGGACTTGATCTCTGAGAATGTTGGTCAAAGGCTCATCACTCTGTAAGAAATTGGACAGACCCTCTTATACTCGCGCGGATATGCCTGAGTTCAGAATAAAATCCAGACTGACTGGTTACAGTTTCTGGAAGTACGTTCAACCTTACTTCCCGGTCGTATCCAAAGAACACACAATCCAAAATCTCAAGGGCAGCCCCTCCGCAATGCCAATATGTCTCCTGGCAGCGATCTATGGCCACGCCCTCCCCTTCTGCGTATTCGACGACATCCTCTGTGTAGATGTCGACACCCTCCCTTCAGCAGACCACCTCTTCAAACTCGCCTGGATGGCCGCCCTCTCCGAGTTCCATACCCCGTCCCTCGCCACAGTACAAACGATGCTTCTCATGATTCAGCGACGGCCAACGAACAAGCACGTCGCCGACACGCCATTCAAATGGACCATGCTCGCAGACACTGTGGCGCTCGCGCAGTGTTTGGGACTCAATCTGGACCCATCGGATTGGGCGATTCCGAGCTGGGAGAAGAGGTTGCGGCGGAGGCTTGCTTGGGCGGTGTATGTTCAGGACAGGTGGCTGAGCCTCAACTTTGGCAGGAGTTCGCACATTCAGGAATGCGATTGGGATGTCTCGCCGCTTGGCCCGGATGATTTTGGTGATGTTCCTGGTTGTGAAGGTGAAGGGCCCTTGGTGTGTAGGCACTTTCTGCACCTGGCCTCCCTGACTGAGATCGTGTCCAAGATTCAACAAAACATGTTGTAAGTTGCATCCCAATACAGCGTCACTGCTCTGATATTGGTGCTCACCGACCGTTGTAGCTCCATCAAATCCACCAGAGCTCTCTCCAAGTCACTCGAAGCAACTTTCGAAGTTGCTCGGCCCTTGAGGATTGAGCTTGCAGAGTGGCTGCAGATGCGACCTGACGTAGGAGAACAGCCCGCAGCATCTCTGCCAGAATGCGGCCTAGACGGGAATGGTAGTCTGAAACTCGCCTACATCACCGCAAAGATTGCCGTATTTAAGGCCCTCCTTCGACCGAAAAGCATCGAAGTCCCAGCCGAAGCCCGTACGGCGTTGCGCACCGGCTCAATGGCTATCGCGCGAGAGATGCATGACTTTCTCGCGAAGCTGGAGGCTCATCATCTTGAAGCTTTCTGGCATTCATGTAAGCATTGCACCAGCCTCTCACACAAGGAGTGTGCTTTCCCCGGAAGTATTCGCTGGATAGCTGATCATGGCTAGATTCCCGTGTCAACTTTGCCATCGCGAGCAACTTTATTGTCTTGCTCTTTGCTCTCTCTCCGACACTATCGGAAGCTGAAGACGCCATTGCTCTTTTGATTCAATGGAGGGGCTTATTGCGGATCAAGTCGAGAAGCTGCGACTTATTGAACTTGAGTCTGCTAAGACTTGATGCCATCTTCGTGGCTGGGCTGGGAAAGCTCATTGAATTGACACCCGCGGCAGCTGAGGCAGCCTCGAACCGGTGTTTGTGAGATGGGCTAACTTACATGCATGATTCACGTCCAAGCCCGTGAAAAACTTCCGCGAGAACCATAGGGAAGTAGGCCGGGTCTTCAGCTCATAGCATGTGGTTCCAATAACATTAAATGATACCGTGTACTTATCT